CATCCTACTGTTTTGTCTACCACTTCAAAACGCACAACTGCGAGCATCTAATATAGATAACACTACGGCACATTAGTAGACAATTATTTGCAATGCATTTGTGGCATACAAAAAATAAAGACGTTTACAATTTCAACGTAAATTGGTACATACAACCTGATAATCTCGTTTTACTTTTACGATGTCTCAGCATCTGCTGTGGAGCATTTGTAAACATGGGCGCGAAATATAACACTTGTAACGCAACTCACTTGCTTTGAAATTATAGATCATTGCAATAACCTTGCTGCTGACGCCGCCTCCCGCCGCCGCATTTGGTGTCTTTAATAGAGCTTACTTTGTTGCCTGCCTGTACAGGAGTTTGCTAGTAGCTATTAAGCAAACAAATCGCTAGTCGAACTCACATTTATTCTTGTATACATACATATATATATATATATATATATAACAAATATGTAGATATAAAAATGTACACTACTATGTGGGAGAAAAACAACTTTTCGTAAAAATTTATTGGAACTCAATATTTTTCGACTGTAAAACCCAACTATTTTTTAACCATTTTTTCATAGTTGCTATATTTTATAGGTCCACCCAAACGACTAGAAAATGCAATGAGGGGATAAATGAAAAATCTTTCGTATTAAAAAATGGTTAAATAAACAATTGGGTATTGTCACTGGAAGTCTTCTGAAGAGAACCACAGTTTTCCGATCGAAAACTATTAATTGTCCAGCATTGTATACCATTGCTACGAAAAGTTGTTTTTTCCTCATATAAAATATTTGAAAACTTTGGACGCTTTCAGACCTCGTAACTATTTTTTGATTTCAAATTAAAAAATAGGGGTTTATTTTTTCAATATAGAACAATCCTAGGGGGTGGTAGCATTAAAATTCCAATTTTACTTATCTGAGTCACCCTAATGTACAGCCATACATACATTTACGTTTATTTCGCATTTGTGCCACTGTTTGATCAATTTCTCATTTGTTTATTTATTTGTCGCCTCAACGCCATCAACCAACTAACTTGTTGTGTCGCCGACATTAGGCGTCGGCGATATCTGTGCGCTTTGTGCAGATTCATATCTCACACCGGTTCTATAATAACATAGCATCAATATGTAGCTATGTTCTATATATGTATCTTGGCAGTTGTGCGTTTGGTCGCTGGTTGACATGATTAATCGATTTGTTCCTGTGGCAATATTACGCATCGTTAGATGCGTGTTGTCACCACTTGGCTTTATTGGCTCTTAGCTTGCTGCCAGTCAAGTGGAAATGCGTTTTCTTGTCGTCATGTATTTACCTGCTACCCACATTCATTCATACTATAACGTGTTTGCAAATATATACATTAGAGTGCCTCACCAAAAAAAAGTTGCTGTTTTTCAAGTTTAAAAAAATATTTCTGAAAAATATTAAGATTTTCGTGAGCTGGACGAAAAAAATAGAGTTTTTTTATAAATAATGTTATGATACTTTTTAAATATTAGCATAAAAATGCTTAACAATTAAATCAACAGAATAAAAATATAGAGATCTTTGGAGGTATTTTCTATTCGGTCCAGCTCACGTTAATCTCGATATTTTTCCGAACTATTTTGGCCGAAGTCTTAAATTATATGTAATACCATTTTTTTTTTTGGAGAGTGATTCACCTTAATGTGCATATATACCTAGATACATACAAATGCAGACGCATATATTTGGCTAATACAAGTATTACTGTTTCGAGAGCTTCTTCTCTGGTGACACTTTCATGGTAAGTCAACACGTCCAACTGCAAATGAGTTAGCAAAGCAACAGAAAAAACTCCGTTCATGGTTTCGATTTCAATTTATGTCTATCATTGAATTTTAATCGGATGTCTTTTTAATGGGCGTAGAGACACTAGTTTGAAATATCGTTGGCTCTGTGCAGTTTTTTATACGCAAAATCTAATTTTCAGCTTAGTAGTTTAGACTATTGCCAATAATGGAGAAATCGTAGCGAACTTCCGCTGGCGACTTAAAGAAACAAATTTATAAATCAAATGAAAACAAAAAATGGTAGTGATGGCCTTGCGTAGTCTAAGACAGTGCTCGCCAAAGTGGTGGTCCGCGGACCGGTGCCGGTCCGTAAGCCATAAGTCGCCGGTCCGCAAAGGGCGTCGCGAAATGGACAACGATTTTTTGATGTTTTATATTACTGTTTAATGAGGCTATATACAACTTGTATAGTAAAAACAACTTAAATTTGTTAAACATTCATAAAAAATCGCTAATATCTGCTATCATTAAATGGTAATAGGTCATATATAGACACCCGGCTAATAAAGAAATTCATTTAAACAAATTTTAATACATATGTGAGATGATCGTAAACGAAAAATAATCAATAAAAAAAGGTACCGGTCCCCGACGTAATAGAAAAACTGCAGCCGGTCCGTCACACTCAAAAGTTTGACGAGCACTGGTCTAAGAGACTTCCTTCATACAATTCGTTTCTTGCCTTCCGTTTATTTTATGCAAACCACTATTTAAGTAGTATGCTCCAAATTACAGCGTGGCGACGAATAACTGTTACCCAGATTTTTTTGAGAAATAAAAGGGTCCTTTATAGATCTTGCGAAAAAAGTATTTTATTGTTAATTTTCCACAGATTTTACTTCAGTTGTATTAATTAGTTTTTAAATTTTAACCCTTATTTACATTTGCCAGCAGTGTAAACTTTGAGAGAAAAGTTCATTTGGCACGCATGCCTTCGTCGGTTAATTTAATCCATATCTTCTGTAACCATAAGGTAATTTTCTTCATTTTTAGTCCCTTATACTCCCCCTTTTGTCCAACATAAGGCCTCATACTCAAAAATCGAATAGACTCGGAATTGGTGACTAGGACGGCCATTCATTCGACCAGCCTTATACAGTTTTTTCTTTTTTTTTGTATTTTTTTTATACAAAGCCTAAGAAAAAATACACCTGAAAAAGACTTGCGTGCCAAATGAACTTTTCTCTCAAAGTTTAAACTGCTGGTAAATGTAAATAAGGATTAAAATTCAATAACTAATTAATACAACTAAAGTAAAATCTGTGGAAAATTAAAAATAAAATACTTTTTTCGCTAAATCTATAAAGGACCCTTTAATTTTTCAAAAAAACTGGGGTAACAGTTATTCGTCGCCACGCTGTAATATTTGCCTGACTTGATGAACATTTTCGAGCAAATACGTACTGAAGTTAGTTGAATAATAAAACATTTTGTGTGATAGCCCTTGCTCGAAGTAAAAGTGGATTTTTTCAAGAGTGCCTTGAATTAATACTTCTACCCATGAAAGACTGCTAGCAGTATTTAAAAACTCAACACTTCAGCTAATATTTGTTAGCGGCAAAAGTGGTAGTATTTTGTTGTTCATATATGAGTCTTCTGGTGTTTTTTCTCTAATTTAGATAAGGATATAATTAAAAAAGTTTTGCCACAATTTGTCATTTTATCATCATATTCAATTACTTTATTGTTATTTATAAAGTAAAACCCTAGCATTTTTATTGAAAAAATATTAGTTTTTGCTACAGTTTCATGTAGAAATCTATTCAATGGCTCAGAATAATAAAGGGAGTTTCAATTGGCGCGATTAGACTTTGGACTAAAGACAGGTCGTACTTTGTTTGGCCGCCATTTAACACCTGACCCACACGTTTTACTTCACTATTTAATTCCGATGTAGTCATTGGGTTTTACCGATGATGTCGATGTCGTCGGCATACGCCAGCAATTGTACGCTTTTGTAGAGAATTGTACCTGAGTGTTTCAGACCTGCGGCCTTGTCTGAAAAACTATTTGGTAACAAATGACTTGCAAAGGACGTTCCCACCTCCGACGGAGCTGGTTGTATTGCTGGAGGTCATTTTACACAGCCATATTAGTTTCGCGGCGGTACGTAATTTAGATATCGTGGTGTAGAGATAACTTTTTCGTGCTGTCGAAAGCGGTTTTAAAATCAACAAATAGTTTGTGTATGTCGATTATACTTTCTCGAGCCTTTCCAATATTTGGCGAAAGGTAACCTTGTCTCTATGTTCCCAGGTTTAAAGCCACACTAATTAGGTCCAATCACTGACGGTGGGCTTCAGTATTTCACACAATAGGCTCGATAAGGCCTTGTAACCTACATACAGTCAGTCAATAAAGTTTAAGTACAGCGAATTTTTTACAATACGGGCAACTATTTTTTAAATATTTTATTATTCGTTAATTTTTTATAAAAACATGGTTAATTCTACAACAAAAAACCAAAAAATCAGTCCCAAACCTTATGCAAAATTAAAGAAAATTTTGCAAAATTTCATTCAAATATTGCACTTTTTATTTACGCTCACTAGAAAAAAGTTGAGTATGCAGTTTTTTACCCCATTCAATTTTAGTATAACAAAGTGCAAGTTTGAGGTAGCTAGGACTTATCATTGATTTATAGCAATTTTTTTTTTTTTGAAGGTGTCGGATGCTAGGACTTACCGTTGTTTATTGGGAAATTTTTTTGTTGAAGGTGTCGCACATTTTTCCCATATAAAAAAATTATCACACATTATTTTATATGGAGAAAATGAGCGACACCTTCAACAAAAAAATTTCCCAAAAATCAACGGTAAGTCCTAGCTTCCTCATACTTGCACTTTAATTTACTAGAATTGAATGGGCTAAAAAACTGCGTACTCAACTTTTTTCTAGAGAGCGTAAATAAAAAGTGCAATATTTGAATGAAATTTTGCAGATTTTTTTTTTTTAATTTTGCACAAGGTTTGGAACTTTGCTTTTTGGGGTTTTTGTTGTAGAATTGACCATATTTTTATAAAAAATTAGCGAAATATAAAATATCTAAAAAATAGTTGCCCGTATTGTAAAAAATTCGCTGTACCTAAACTTTATTGATTGACCGTATGCTTAGAAGGCTGATAACGCGGTAGTAGGTGCATATAGTGGGATCGCCTTTCTTGTGGATTGGGCAGAGCACACTTACAGTCGTTGGGCATGCGTTCATCTGGCCATATTCTGCATAAGAGTTGATGCATGAGCCTTATCGACTCCTCGCCGTCAAACTTGAATAGTTCAGCTGGTAGGCCGTCGTCCGCGTAATTGCTATGGGACATCGACTCCATCATCATCGACTTCTCCACAACTTTCCATGCTGCTACCATTCAGTTGGGTGGTAAAATGTTCCCGTCATAATTTAGGTACGTTCTGGACATCGTTAGCCCCCTACATCGGTCCCAGTCACTAATGTAAACCATATTCCGCATGGATGATTTGGGGCTATGGTTACCTGAGGTGACGTGAATTTCACCCTTAGGTGATATATATCGTCACTAGATACGAATAAAGGTGCGAGCTCAAAAGTTGAGGGCGAAAAAAGACGCATAAGAAAACTTCAGCGTCAAAAGCTCTTAACATACATCGCCAAAGTTTTTCATAAGTTTTTTTACGCGCCTTTTTTCGCTGTCAAAACACTAGCGCGAATTTATTCGTGTGTAGTGACGATATGGAATATAGCATTATTTATTTTGGAACGAATTTCCGTCATCCCTTGTCAGGTTCCATATAAAAGCATTAAAACGCTTTGAATCTTTTTTAGCTAAGCGTTCTCGTTCTCGAGATATTAGAATCTGCCACGAAAAAAGCATCGGCAACCCGACACGAAAATATAGCGGGATCAAACCGTAGGATACTGTTGGCCAATTCACGTCACCTCAGGTAACCATAGCCTCAAATCATCCATTCGGAATGTGGTTTACATTAGTGACTGCGAAATAAGCAGAAACAGATGCCGCTACCTGGGACCGATGTAGGGGGCTAACGATGTCCAGAACGTACCTAAATTATGACGGGAACATTTTACCACCCAACTGAATGGTAGCAGCATGGAAAGTTGTGGAGAAGTCGATGATGATGGAGTCGATGTCCCATAGCAATTACGCGGACGACGGCCTATCAGCTGAACTATTCAAGTTTGACGGCGAGGAGTCGATAAGGCGCATGCATCAACTCTTATGCAGAATATGGCCAGATGAACGCATGCCCAACGACTGTAAGTGTGCTCTGCCCAATCCACAAGAAAGGCGATCCCACTATATGCACCTACTACCGCGTTATCAGCCTTCTAAGCATACGGTCAATCAATAAAGTTTAGGTACAGCGAATTTTTTACAATACGGGCAACTATTTTTTAGATATTTATATAATTTTTTATAAAAATATGGTCAATTCCACAACAAAAACCCCAAAAATCAAAGTTCCAAACCTTGTTCAAAATTAAAAAAAAATCTGCAAAATTTCATTCAAATATTGCACTTTTTATTTACGCTCTCTAGAAAAAAGTTGAGTACGCAGTTTTTTAGCCCATTCAATTCTAGTAAAGTAAAGTGCAAGTATTAGGAAGCTAGGACTTACCGTTGATTTTTGGGAAATTTTTTTGTTGAAAAAAATTCAAAATCGATGTATGTTGTTTCGTATTACCCGCCATTTTGCATCAAAAAATAAATTTGAAAAAATAAACTTGCCACCTTTTCACCTTTAGGCAGCGATATAAGTTAGTTATTCGATCACATTTAAACCTCTACGAATACCAGTCCTTTTTTTTATAATAATATCCCAACGGTTTTTACCCTCCATTCCCGCCCATCCGCACGAGAGGCGCAGTCCGCATGACGTACGGAACCAGTATTTTCAATTTTTGCGCCGAGTCACGATAGGCAGGAGTTTGTTAAGTATCGAGATCTAAAACTGTTCAGCTACAGAACTAAATTCATCAGCCGATTTTATGGCTTTATTTTAATGATTCATCTATTGAGAGAGGACAGTATAGATTTCTTAATGCTGAAAAGCGGATCTCATATATCAAACGTGCTGGAATGAGAGTTAAAATCCTGGCATAAGCAACGGAGTGGGTCGTGCAATTCAAAATTAGTTTCACAAGCTTTCAGAAATAGGGGGCAAAAGTGTCCTGATACCCGGGAGGGAACATTAAGGCTAAGAAGCGGACTTGAAATTGAGCCTGTTAGTAATTTAACTATAAAAATTGTACCAAGCATTTGGATCTCCAAACCTGCAGAATCTGATATCTGTTGTGAACGGCATTAAATATGAAAAAATTTCTGTAAACAAATAACTTCATACAGTCACTCAAACAAATGAACGCGTGTTGCTTTTTTAATATTCGTAATATTTTTCCAGCTAAATATTTTTTTGTTATTTTTATATAAAAATATCGTCTTAGCTTCAACCAAAACGCATACCCAAACATTTTCTAAAAATTCAGAATAAAAAGTTGAAATTCTGATGGAAATTTGTTGAATTTTCCTAAATTTAGTATTAGGTTTAAAACTTTGACTTATACGGTTTTGCTTAAAGCTTAAACGACATTTTTATACAAAAATAACAAAAAAAATTAACTCGAAAAACAATACGAATATTTGAAGAAAATCAATACGTGGCCATTTATTTGAGTCACTGTATAACAATTGAAAATTTAACTGGCCGAACGTCTTTCCGCGAAGTATGCATTAGTTTGTTATTGGTTGAATAGTAGTTTTTTTTTTGATTAATAACAGTAATTAAAGCGAATTTTTGCAATTAGGAAAATAATGGCGCCTCAGTTGCCGCAAACAACTGAAAGTTTAATAAACAATTTTAATTATGGCGATAAAAGTTGCCAAGCATTTGTTATACATACCTATGTACCTCGACATGTACGCATGCCAATTTTTGCATAACACGCACAGGTGAGTCAAGTGCAAATATTTGCCTAATGTAGTCAGTGAAAATTCGCAAGCAAAGAGAATGAATTATGGAAATAAAATCTGATTTTAGACTATTCCCTTTTAACTTCTTTCATAAATAAGCTTTCACTCTTACAGCTCTACTTTGTAATGAAATTATTAACGATTCCTTCTGTGATAACATCTTAGCCTAGGTCTAAACCGGGCGTAAACAAGTTGATCTTTATCATTTCATATGCTTCAAAGGTACATTTACAAATTAATTACATGACGTTTGCTAACAGATGTACCTATGTATAAAGACTTGTATATATGTATGTATGTACAATTGTATATATAAAGTGCATGCAGAAAAAAATGTTTTTGATTAAGACTCGGCCTTAACAAGTAACAAACACAATGGGGTGCTTTTAATCGCCGAACTACAACATCCAAGTCCTACTGAATAAATTAGCGCCAACATTTACTATGTAATTACTAGTAATTAATGATGGGAAGTACCGAGTACTTTTGAGCATCGAGTTCTTTGGTGTCGATACTTTTAAGGATCGGGTATTTTTGAGAAAACTGAGTACTTTATTTAAATATACAAATGTTGCTAACATTTCAAAGACTCGTGCAGAGATATCACAAGTTGATGGAGCTTTATTAAAATGAATGTATTAATCCTAAATTACATCAATTGAACTGACAAAATTGAGTACAATCATTTATGAATACCGCTCAATGTAAATAGGACTCGGTATTTGTAGGTATTTATTCGACACTTAATAGTGAGTACTTTGAATCAATTGTGATGATTTGAACAAAGTATTTTTAGGTACTGAGTACTTTCGAGTTCTTTTAAGTTCTAGGTACTTTCGAGTTTTTTTGTGAGTATTGGGTACCAAGTATCAATACTTTTAAAAATCGCGTACTTTCGATCCTTTTGAGAATTTAGTTCTGAGTACTTTTGCTATCGATACTGCCCAACACTAGTAATTACGTTAGTATTTATGTATACATATTTATATATATATACATAAATCTATGATCTAGGTATGTATGTAGATATGTATGTGATACTGTTCCTTGCGTAATAGCAACTGCTACTCAATTTATAATTAATGGACTACTCAGTTAGTAAGTACTTACATACGTCCCTTTTTATCATCTCACTGCCTTCCAACGAGTTGTTGCTACTATTGTCGTTATTGCTTTTACACGTGCGGGCGTATTGGTATGTACGAGTATCATTATGAGGCAGACATTTTGGTTGGACTCTTCATTAATTAATTCTACAAATTCCATTCCTTAGTTTATTATGTACATACATATATGTATATGTGTGAGTTGGCTTTGTGTTATTTTATATGACAATTGGTCGTCAACTGGGCTATTCATCTCCTGATGATACTTTTATTAAAAAAATGACTTACTTGCAAAAATATTCAAGTTTAATTTTAATATAGCAATTAGTAAGTGTGCAGCATTGATTTAGTTAGGCATGGTAAAATCGAAATGCTTAAATTATCTTTACGAATCATGAAATTTCCTTTAAAATGGCATTCAATCGTTAGTGCATATTTCGCAGTAGATGCATGATTTTGCATATTTTGCAAAAAATACATATTTATTGCGCACATTTCAGCATATTTTATAGTTTTTTAAATTTTTTTTTATTTATAACCATTTAAATTTAGTGCGAAATCTCTTGCCAAAAATCCATATAACTTTTTCTTAAATGTTCTTCTACTTCTGTTAAATGTCATTTCATTCGCAATAACAAAGACGAAGCTATACTGATTGCAAGTATTATCTTTTAAATTTAATTAGATTTTTCCAAAACTACTTTTGAAATAACGCTCTCTTAAGCTCCTTGTAAGCTTGCTGTAAGTGATACGTATTTTATTTAATTTATTCATTTAAATTATTAAATTGTATTTGATTTTTTTAAACAGTTGACAACTCTCTTTAAAAATGATTTCGAGCTATAGATTTCTTAACTGTATATATGTATTTCGTTTGATATCCACAATTTAGTATTTATTAAAATTGAACTTGACTACTGTGTATGTAGCTGGGCGGCAATTCTCTTTAAAAATCTTTTCGAAATTAAGTCCTTAAAATTAAATTTGACTTTTGCGCAGGTGGCAACCTTTTCAAAAAATAGTTTCAAAATCAGTCCCTCTTCGACCTTTTTCATTTGACATTCATATTGTATATAAATATTTCATTTAACTAACTGATGAATTTGAATTTGATTTTTAAACAGCTGGCGACTCTCTTTAAAATATTTTCGAAATAAAGCTCTCTTAAACCTATTTCGTTTATTTTTTACGCATCATTTATCTTATAAACAAAAATTGAATTTAGTCTTTGAAAAAGGTGGCAACCCCCTGCAA